ATATGTAAAAACATTGAGAGTTGTTCAAACTAAAGGCCATCGTTTTCTACAACTTTCTACCAGCGGTCAGCTAATTTTTGGATCCGGATCCGTTTCCAAGTCAGTCATTCCGTGGATTGTTGAGCAGTTGGCGACAAATTTCGACTCTTCTGGCGGCTTATGCTTCGTGAGTTCATGCGGATCTTGTCCTAGCTTCTTGTGGACAAGTTAAGCTGGTGAAGATGAGTTACCACTGTTGTTGAGAATCATCAATTTCTGTTGCCAATTCGCGCTTGACGATGGTTCATCTTCCAAAGCAGCAATCGAATCTCCGTTGCAACAACTTTGCTGGACGTCTTGAATGAGGCTTGCCTTCGAGGTCAAGATCTCCGGCATTGAGAAGCGTTGAGACCAGCGTCCAGCAGCAGATTTGTTTGTTGTGCCTTCGCTTCAACTTCGTTGATTTCATCGACTGCAGCTCACTATGAAAGACCTTTTGTCCAATAATGGCGCAATAAAACACGTAATTTGAATGTATCGTCAAACATGGCAGAGGCTTGTAGCAAAATGAGAATAAAGACGAGTAACATTAGGCCTTCAATGGGAACCTTCCGCATAAGAAATTGTAGTATTCCCATGATATGCAGAAGTTATCTCATGCTTATTGAAGTACCAGCGAACTTTCTTCCCAACACAGTATATATTCCATTTAGAGTGAATGATGTATATGAAATCTATTCGCTTATCATGAACATTGTCTTTGTAGTATTTGGTCGAAGACTAATATCCACAAGCGTTCTCGAACGGTCAAGATTTGCTTCGCCTGGGTGACGTTTGCTGTCGCAAGAACGATCTCACTAGCTGAGAGAATATGCTGCAATAATTGGCCGGTGATCTCACTCTATGCTCGCGTAACACTTTAAATGGTGGCAATGAAGAGTTTTGGCGAGATGGTATCGCCTTGTCAAACTGCTTTTCTTACGTCAATGGTATTATCGTCATAGAATGGCGGTAATTCGGTTGTAAAATCTTCATATAGCTCACGAAGAATGATTAGTAATGAGTAGGATGTTCTGGCTGTCGAGCTTCTACAACTGCTTCCATTTCGACTGACAAAGATCTTCAAATCGATGAAAGTGAGACAGAGCGGTCTCTTATGCTTCTTCGATACTTCAGAGAGCCTTGTTAACTTTTGGATGTAGTTCATAGTATGGGAACCTTTTCAAAACCCTATTTGCTTGGAGAGGCTCCGTGGACGAGTGGTTGTGACGCTCGTTGCGGCTCGCGTGGGTTAAACTTCGCTCCTCAAAATTCTCCAACAGTCAACAGTGACGCCGTAGCCAGGCTACCTCGAGTCTGCAACGAGTCTTGCTCAACAGTATTCCACGACGTTCCAGAAGATGGTGAAAAATCGAACTCTTTGCTAGAAGTACTGAGATCCGCACAGTGGGAAAAAAAACACTGTGTTGACGGATTAATAAAGTGTTAATGTGTTTGTGTGACTGTCTTTTGGGCAGTACTCTACTAGTCCTCCTTGTGATGACTCGCGAGAGAAGCCTAAAAATGAACAATAATTGCCGATGTCGTAAGGTCCTTTCTTTCAACAATAACACGATCTTCTTGGTTTTTCATTTGCTAGAAACCTTGAATCTTGACAGGGTAACGTGTGAAGAGCCAAGCCTGTGTGCTTATGTGAACTGGTGAGATTTTTTAGATGTTCAGCGCTCACCCTGTCCGAAACAGGCGTTATTCGATTCTTCACCGGCGGAATAGCATATTAGATTTCAGAGGGCACAACTAGTGGGACAACAAATCCGTCCCTTTTCATTCCACATGACAATAAGCGGACGAGGTTATTGAAGAGATCTGTGTAGTAGTCGCGCATGATTTTCTCGATAGCAGCCTTTTCCTTCTACTCGAGTAAATGATTCAGATGAATTTGAAAAGTTTCAAGATTCCGTTCTTATTTTTCTTCGAGTTTAGCAGGTTCCCCTTCTTCCTGTGAAAAGTGGTTCACATAAAGGAAACCTTTGCCAATCCCTTGCGGAATTTATGGGAACAGCGAAAACGGCTTTAGAAACTTACGATTTGCTCCTGTGTCGTCTGTTTTGCTATCGCAGTGCCAATATAATGTTTCTCTAGGTCAATTCTTGAGATCTGAACTTTCATTTCGTATTATAGTTGCATGATCGAGACGATTTTTATAACAAAGCTCTACTAACGAGAACGACAACGCCTGCCGACTATACTAACTTCGCATGTTATGAAGAGTGATTGTTCCTCGGTGTTTTAAACGACGCGAAATGGGCGGCATCTTCTCGTCCTAACCAGTTCGATGACGTTCTACCATACCTTTTTTGATTAGATGACTAGGTCATCCATAGGAGATCAAGTGAAAGAAAACTTATATAGTGCCATTTTTATTGATATTTTATATATTATTAAACCAACATGACCCATCATATTTGCTGCGTGGTTCCCAGCATTTATCCATTCGATTCGTTTCCTCGTTTTCATTATCCATAAAGAACTCCGAGATTTCCGAGTCCCGTTCCGGTACTGCCTGAAGATTTCGTTTTTTTTATAAATGTTGTAGAATACTGATCGAGTCGAACCCATTTGTAATCTTGGAGACAGCATGACTAAAGCGTTGCCACGTACATTGCAAGAGATTGTTGGAATGGAGATTGAACCGACGTTGTGCTTTCTAACAGACTGCATCATTGGACACTCCGCTACTCCCCTCCTGTTTCACACACGCTTTTTGCAATGGGTGATGCCTTCTTACCTCATCCATTCCGGTGACGTCAAACGTTGTCTTCTCGCTTAAGAATCAAGTTCCATATGGAAAACTCGCGTACAAGTGAGCAAACATTACAGGTACAAATCACACCACCTTGTTCTTCGAGATTCAGACAGCACGTAATAGCTCTGAGAATTCAACAGCCTTTTCGTGTTTGTCCTACCCAGCGCTGTTGTAATGAGGGCCCTTTCGGGGTCTGAAAAATTGCTACTTTAAGGAATCAGTGACAACCAGACCTATGAATCAACAACGCCGGTGGGAAGGCCCCTCGAAACCTTAAGAAGATGTTCAAAATACAGGATCGATTAGAAAGGGAGAGTGTCTGGACAACACGAATGGCATGACACCTATGCCATATCCTTTTTTTGAGGTTAACTAGTATGTGGCATCAACCGGTGCATAAGGAACTCAACAGTGGATCTGCTTTATAAACAGATTTAAAAAATGATTTTTGAATTTGATTTCCATCATATTCAGGAAATGTTTACTGAACAATTAGAGATGGTATGGCACAGTACAGTTGAGGGGTATCATGCATCCTCTTGTTTCACATAGATGCTTGTATTTGGATAATGAATCGGGATAGTCGAATCTATGACAGTTAGTAAGTGGGAAATTGTTGAGCCCATAAATGTGCATACGTGCAGAAGTGAGAAGTACATCACCGAAATCAAACCGCTTAGTGGATGCAAACTATTTTCGCTATAGAGGTTCGCACATTCAAATATTGATCCTGAAGCTGTTCAAATATAGTCAGTTCCGTAAACCACTTTGGTGAAGAGATCTAAATATAACCGTGATAAAGTAACCTGAGGATAATTTGGGAAATTAGCTTACCAAAGATAACTTGAACGATTCACGTGATATGCTATAAATCAAAAACGTAAACATTGAAGACTTAACACATCGACTAAATTCAATGACGAAAACATGGCAATTAAGACCTATACCTTTATTCAATACCCCAATTTTAACTGAATTCAACGAAAACGGTGTTCCTAAGGAAGGGATGGGTTTTTAATGCCCCATTCACGCTCAACGAAACGAACATCTCCAAATACTCCAGTTCCGTCTATTTAGGTCGTGAAATCAACATAATGAACGACGTAGCTCCAGAGTTGAGCAGGAAGATACGAGCTGCTTGGGGAAAGTCTAAGAGCATCCAAGATGTAGTGAAGAGGAAAAGGAATATCTCACTCCGTGCCCACCTTTTCGAGTTGACGATTTTCCCTACGCTGATGTATGCAGTAGAAACCTGGTCGCTACGTAGGCAGGATGAATAATCACTTGGTGATATTGACCGCACAGTCGAAAGGTCAATGCTAGGAGTATCCCGTATCTTGAAAATGAGAGAAAGGATCCGAAGTCCCGACCTACGTCAACGATCGAAGATTGGAGACGCCGTTCTACACGCTAAGATAACGAAAATAAGGTGGGCCGGACACGTGATGCGCATTAATGACAACCGATGGACGAGAGCTGTTGCCGACTGGATTCCTCGGAATATCAAGGGCTCTACAGGAAGACTGTCGACTCGATGGTCCGATTTCTTCACGAAAAGACTAAAAGATAGATATAATGCTTAAGATTCTCTAAGGTGAGGACCGACTGGGCTACTGTTGCACGCGATGGGGAAAAGTGGAAGTGTTGCTGGTGCCCGCTCGAGTTATACTCGACGATCAACGGGGCGACAGCTGATACAGGTGAACCTTGATTGTGTCTAAGGATAAGTATGAAATTTCATGTTTTAGTAAAGACTCCTGTAGCGTGCTGGTTAGAGTTATGCTAGAGTTCTAGTATGGTCCTTGTTTCAGTCTCGCATCCTAGACATGCAAAACGCCCTCCGTCCAGCGTCGATAAATTAGTAGTAGACTAGATTTTGAGGACGCAGCCAGATCTGCAGTCTTCTAAGATGTTTAATGAATTCAAATACATCACGAATTTCTGAAGAATTCAACTAACGCTAAATGCTGTATCTTTTATCCCTAATCACTGCATAGTTTATTTTCATGGCGGGTACGATGAGGTATTTAGCTACAAAAGGCTGAGATACGTGCAAATTTGACTAGGCCGTTCTAGTGAATTGTCCAAGATGAAGCCAGTTGGCAAGGTGACAAATGTTTGTTTAATCTACAGAAATTTCTAGTATTTTAACTGCATTACGCAGTGTTATGATGGTTCAAATATACCAGAGAGAACTGAGTGGTGAGCAAAACACGGCCTCAGGCGGGAATCGAACCCGCGTTTCGTCCGTTCCAAGGACGCTTTTGCTCGCCACTCAAATCTCTTTGGTATATACGAAACATCATGACACTGCGAGGTGCAGTAAAAATAGATGACATTTCGAGCATTGGTACAATGGCTGTCAGCTCAACTGGGTTTCTAAAGCGAAATCGCATACCCGATCAAACCTGTTAAAGGTTGGTGACTGATAGCTAACACAGAGATGTTAAAGAATGGCTGGTGGCACAAATGTGCCTCGGCGGTGTGGTGGACAGCACGCGTCCTCGGTAAGTATGAAACGCGGGTTCGATTCCCGGCCGAAGCCGTGTTTTTGCTCAGCACTCAGTTCTCTTAGTTATAATCCGAGATTTGGCGATTAGCAGTAATGACGATCTCAAATTCGACTCGGTCAACATTTCCAGGTGTATATCTTATCAATTCGTTCGATATGCTAATTGACTATAGAAAACTAAGTATAGCAGAATAAAGAACTTTTCTTGACGAGTGGCCAATTCAATAAAAAGCACCACGTCTAGATTTCCCGGCACTCACTTTTTCATGACTTCTACACTGTCCAATATCTCAGTGGTTCTTGAAGACGCCAATAATTTTTTTTTTATGGCGCGTGCAAAACTAGCTTAGTGTGTTCTCCTCGACGTGAAATCCGTTGAGCATTATAATTTTCTTTCATGGTTCTTCATGAAGAATGTGAGTATCAAATTGATAGTGTTCCTGCTACAGTTTGACATTCCGGGGAATCTAGTCAATAACGAACCCTACGAACGATTGTCATCAAACCAATTAGATATTCTGAATACCGACAAACTGACGTGTAGAACGGTGTCATTGATCTTTGATCGCTGAAGCAGGCCAGGATTTTGGATCCTTTCCATTACTCGAAAGATAATGCATGAACCTAGCATTGATCTTTCAACTGCGCGCTCAATGACGCCAGGTGATCCTTCATCCTGCTTGATTAGCGACAAGGTTTCTGATGCATATAGTCAGGCATAAGGAATCGTTGAGTAGGAAACGTGGGCATGAAGTCAATGTTCTTTCTTCTCTCTGCTGCATCCTTGATGCTCTTGAAACTCCGTCAAGAGCTTTTATTCCCCGACTTTCGAGCTAAATATTTCATCATATCAACTTCCTCAACGATCTTGAGAACGCGGAAATATTAGGTATGGAAAGAAAGTTATGGAACACGTTTAAAAATTCAAAATTCATATATGATTCTCAAACAACAACACAGTTACAGTTGTTCAAAATAAAGGCCTTCGATTTTTACAACTTTCTACCATCGGTCCGCTAATTTTCGGATTCGGATCCGTTTCCAAATCGGTTATTCCGTGAATTGTTGAGCAGTTGGCGACAAATTTCGGCTCTTCTGACGACTTATTCTTCGTGAGTTCGGGAGGATCTTGTCGTGGCTTCCTGTGGACAAAGTTAAGCTGGTGGAGATGAGTTATCAAAGTTGTTAAGAAACATCAATTTCTGTTGCCAAAACGCGCTTGACGATGGTTCATCTTGCGAAGCAGCGATCGAATCTCCGTTGTTCAACTTTTATGGACGCCTTGAATGAGGCTTGCCTTCGAGGTCAAGATCTCCGGCATTGAGAAGCGTTGAAACCAGCGTACAGCAGAAGATTGTTTGTTGTGCCTTCCACTTCAACTTCGCTGATTTCATCTAGTGCAGCTCGCTATGAAAGACCTTTTCTTCAATAATGACGCAATAAAACACAAATTTCACTGTATCGTTGGACACGGCAGAGGTTCAGTGACAAAATGAAAATAAAGACGATTAATACTAGGCCTTCAGTGGGAAAATTCCACATAAGAAACTGTAATATTCCCATGATATGCAAGAGTTATCTTATGCTCATTAGAGTACCACACAACTTTCTTTCCAACTGTAGTACATATTCCAGTTAAAGTGAATGATGAATACGAAACCTATTCGTTTATCATGAATATTGTCTTGGTGATATTTAGTCGAAAACTAATATCTCTACAAGCGTTCTTGAACGGTCAAGATTTTCTTCGCCTGGCTGATGTTTGCTGTCACAAGAACGATCTCACCAGCTGAGCGAATATGCTGTGATGACTGGCCGTCGATTTCACTCCAACGTTGTTCCATTGAAATGTTCGCGTGACACCTTGGACGGTGGCAATGAAGAATGTTGGCGAAATGGTATCGCCTTGTCAAACTGCTCTTCTTACGTCAATGGTAATATCGTTATAGAATGGCGATATTTTGGTTGTGAAATCTTTTTATAGCTCACGAAGATTCTTAGCAATGAGTAGGGGTGTTCTGGCTGTCGAGCTTTCTGAACTGCCTCCATTTCAACTGACAAAGATCTTCTTCAAATCGATGAATGCGAGACAGAGCGGTCTCTTATGCACTCGATACTTGAGAGAGTCTTGTTAACTTGTGGATGTCGTTCATCGTATGGAAACTTTTCGAAACCCTATTTGTTTGGATGGGCTCCGTGGACGAGTGGCTGTGATGCTCGTCGCGGCTCGCGCGTGTTGAACTCCGCTCCCCAAAATTTTTCAACAGTCAACAATAAACGCTCTATGAAACGCCATAGCCAGGCTATCCTCGAAACTGCAAGGAGACTCGCTCAACCACCACGACGTTCCGAAATGTGAAATCGATCATTGCTAGAAGTACTGAGATCCGCACAGTTGGAAAAGAAACACTGTGATTACGGATTAATAAAGTCTCAGTTTGTTTGTATGACTGTCTTGTGGGCAGTGCTGTGCTAATCCTCCTTGTCATTACTCGCGAAGAAGCCCACAGATGTCAGGCAGCAAAAAGGTTGCGCAATAATTGCCGATTTCATGAAGGTCTTTTCTTTTCAACAATAACAGGATATTCTTGGTTTTTCATTGGCTAGGAACCTTGCATTCTGACAGGGTAACGTGTGAAGAGCAGAGTCAGTGTGTTTATGTGAACTGGTGAGGTTTTTCAGATATTCGGCGCTCATCCTGTCCGAACAAGGCGTTATTCGATTCTTCACCGGCGGAATAGCATATTAGATTTCAGAAGGCACAACTAACGGACAACAAATCCGTCCCTTTTCATTCCATATGACAGTAGACTGATGTGGTTATTGAAGAGATCTGTGTAGTAGTCGTGGATAATCATCTCTATAGCGGCCTTTTCCTTCTAGCCGAGTGAAATGATTCAGATAAACTTGGAAAAGTTTGAAATTCCGTTCTTATTTTCCTTGGAGTTTAGCAGGTTCCCTTCTTCCTATGAAAAGTTGTTTCACGTAAAGGAAACTGTTGCTAATCCCGTACTGAATTTGTGGAAGGAGCCAAATTGGCCTTAGAAACTACGATTTGCTCCTGCATGGTCTGTTTTGCAATCGCAGTGTCAGTATAATGTTTCTCTGGTAAAATTTTTCCTGAAATTTGAACTTTCATTTCGTATTATAGTTGCATGATCGAAACGATTTTTTTAGCCAGGCTCTACTAACGAGAACGACAACGCCTGCCGACTATACTAACTTCGCATGTTATGAAGAGTGATTGTTCTTCGGTGTTCTAAACGGCGCGAAATGGGCGGCATCTTCTCGTCCTAACCAGTTCGATGACGTTCTAGCGTACCTTTTTTGATCAATGACTAGGTCATCCATAGGAGATCCAGGTGAAAGAGAACTTCTCCGGTGCCATTATTATTGATATTTTATTTATTATTACACCAACATAACCCATCACATTTGCTGCGTGGTTCCCAGCATTTTGTCCATTCGATTCGTTTCCTCGTTTTCATTATCCATAAAGATCTCCGAGATTTTCGAGCCTCGTTCCGACTATGCCTGAAATTTTCGTTTTCTTTATGAATGTTGTGGAATGCTGAACGAGTAGAACCCCTTTGTAATCGTGGAGACAGCATGACTAAAGCGTTGCCACGTACATTGCGAGAGATTGTTGGAATGGAGATCGAACCTACGTTGTGCTTTCTGACAGGCTGCATCATTGGACACTCCGCTACTCCCCTCCTGCCTGTTTCACACACGGCTTGCAACGGGTGATGCCTTCCTATCTCAGCCATTCCGGTGACGTCAAACGTTGTCTTCTTGCTTATAAATCAAGTTCCATGTGGAAAACTCGCGTACAAGTGAGCATGCATTACAGGTACAAATGACGCCACCTTGTTCTTCGAGATTCAGACAGCATGTAATAGCTCTGAGAATTTAACAGCCTTTTCCTGTTTGTCCTACCCAGCGCTGTCGTAATAAAGCCCCTTTCGGGGTCTGAAAAATTGCTATTTTGAGGTAGCAGTGACAACCTGACCTACGAGTCAACAACGTCGGTGGAAAGGTCCCTCAAAACCTCAAGAAGATGTTCAAAATCCAGTGTCCATTAGAAAGGGAGAGTGTCTGGACAACACAAATGGCATGACACCTATGTCATACCCTTTTATGAGGTTAACTAGTATGTGGCATCAACCGGTGCATATGGAACTCAACAGTGGATCTGCTTTATAAACAGATTTCAAAATGATTTTTGAATTTGATTTCCATCATATTCAGGAAATGTTTACTGTACAATTAGAGATGATATGGCACAGTACGTCGAGGCTCAGAGAAAGGTGAAATTGCCGGAACGAAATTCGTCGCTTGAGAAGACGATAATACTAATTTCACGATGGTTTTGAAAAGGATGATTCGTAGGATAGTTTCAATAATTTACGTTAAAATTTGGTGAAGATCGAGCAATCAATTAAATCCGTGGTCGACGTATTTTACTGAGAACATTTTTGTTACCCACGTATACCATAAGCAGCAGCTAACGTAGAGGCTGAATTCTCATAAGTATTATATTACTCCCTTCGTTTCGCGTGTATCCTAAGACCACACTCAAATTTCAGTATGTCTGATAATTGATTCGTGAGCCATGCATGTGGTCTGTTATGAGCACTTATACAGTGCAATACACATGTTTCGGCCTTGCAGCCTTGTCAGTTACACAGTGCCTTTCGCCTGAGTCGATCCCTCTTGGTGGAGAACCCATTCGCATAGAGAAGCCGTTGACGAACGTTTTACACGCGCCGACAAGTGATGAAATTGCTGAACGGGCAGTGTGGCATACTCGATTGCTCTTGGCTGGTATCGTCAAATATAGCATACCTTTCGTTTCGAGTGTTTTGCTCCGACGAGTCACTGTGCAAGTTGACGAGCTGCATGGCCGAAACGACGTGTATTGTACTGTATACGCGTTCATAACAGATCACATACATGGCACAAAAATGACTACCGCACTTTATCAGTATCACTCCAGAGTGGATAAGGTAAGACGACTCCACCATCTTCTAATGCACTTTCAATGTAAGATTTTCACATTTTTGTATAAGCTAGTGAAAAAATGAACTCATTCAACTTCACATAACAACTTTCTAAATGTTCTTCTACATACTTCTTTCGTTGTGGGTTTATGGTCCCATCATGACCTCGTCATTCTGAAATATACGAGTAAAGTTCCAATACAACCTCATCCATGTACGAAGCGGTGTTCCATTTTATTGTTTATAAAATACCACGCGTATCATTTCGCTGCGGAGAGTCTGCTTTACGGCGCTCAAATAGTTGTATTAAGCATTGTATTTGCTTCTCGTTCAGTACTTAACTTTTCAGACTTCCCTATTGGTCGGAGTGCCGAGAATCTGCTGTTCTATAATGCCGTTTGCTCACTCAAGCTCAGAAACAGTTATCCGCGGTTTTACTCCATATTCGCTTCATCATTAGCCCTCAATCCACATAGGTCCATGATACCATGTCGTCTGTAACCCTCCCCATCGTCAGATGCCTTCATCTCCATCACGAAGCTATTCAAATCAAATTTGCGGCACACTGTCGCTCATTGTTCCCTAACCAAATAGTACAAACGTGAACATATATGCCCGAAATTTCATGTCTACCATTGAATTCGTACGAGAAGTTTGTGTAAACTTTCTTTTTATGCTTATTACAATAAATAAATTAAATACGAATAAGCATCAGAACATGATCTTGAAGACAAGAATGTGGAAAAAATTCACGGATTTCAATATCGAGGTCGACGTCAAAGCAGAAGTTCAGAATCTCAAAATACGAAAGCTAAATCATGCCCGACCAAACCTGTTAAAGGTTGATGGCTGATAGCTATCATAGAGATATTAAAGAACGATTGGTGGCGCAAATGTGCCTCGGTCGTAGTAGTGGTAACACGTGTACCCGACATGTATGGAACGCGGGTTCGACTCCCGTCTGAGACTGTTATTTTGTTCACTACTTAATTTTTTTCGATATATATGTAGCTTCACAATATTGCAAAAAAAAAACAGAAAAAATGCTGGAGTGCTGGAGTACGAAAGCTAAAGTAAAAATAAATGAAAATGCATGTGAAGGTGGATCAATAAAGTTTCTAAAAAAAGCTAAAATAAGGATAAAATCAATGAAAACGTCAACTTCTTGAAAAATAAAGGCGATTAATCATTTTTTCAACATCTATGAAGAAAAGGTTGACCAAGTTGTCATTCACTAATATCTTCTCACCAACTATCACATCAGTCACCTCTTCAGCAATTGCCACATGACAAATGCAGTTATCGCACAATCCGACGTTCATGAGAATTTTACTTGTGCACTTGTTGATTTGATTATTAAGCAGCATCCCTGACATGCTATTGTTGGACGCATGACGTGTCCACTTGGATGGAATATCCATATCTTGGCGTATATGGCCAAGTCTACGACTCTGAAGTTGTTTTAGACTGGAACTCAAAATTCCGTCTTATACATGTGTGGTACGAGATACTCCTAATTTAAAGTGCTTTCAAAAACTTCCGATGCCTACGCTCCATAAGGCAAAAGGATTCGTTTATCTCCTTGAACGCACCTCCATGATTCGCTATTTTCTCAACGAGCACACACGAGGGTATCACCTGCGACACCTGTCGTCTCGTTGATCGTCAAGTGACTAGAGCGGGTACCGGCAACACTTCCATTCTTCCCTATCACGTGCAAGAGTACCCCAGTGGGTCCTTCTCGCTCTAGAGATTCGCTGAGCATCATATCTTTCTTCTATAGCTTTCGTGAAGAAATCGGACCAACGGTTTGGTGGTCTCCCTGTAGAGCGCTTGCTGTCCCGGGGAATCCAGTCCGTAACGGCTCTCGTCCATCGGTTGTCGTTGAAGCACATCAGGTGTCACTCACAAAGGTATTATTCTGGTATTCAGTCATGGTAGATGACGTTCCAAGAGATTTGGTTCTTTTAAAATGATTAAGCTGATTATATAATCAGCCAAATATCTCCACAACTCACAGAAAAATTTTGAGAAATGAAAGTCAACTTAAATTTCAATCGTCTCGGAAACAGAACAGCTTTTTCATGCCTTCACTGCCTTCCATGAGCCTTCCACTGATTCATGTGGGGATCAACGCACAGAGTACTGTGGACGCTCATCGCTGGGTACTAGATCTTTTTTAAATTGAAAATCAGTCTGAGATATTATATGTTATCACGAATCATAACAAGGAATTACTCTCTGCTCCTCATTTCAAAATTTTTGCACGAAGAGCACTGCCCAACTGACAAGGCTACCAAGGCCGAAACACGATGTAATGGCCTGTACCAGTGCCCATAACAGACCATATGAATGACTCAAAAAGTAGTTATCAGGCATATTGAAATCTCAACATGGTCTTGAGAAGACACTCGAGACGATAGGTATGATTCTTGGAATTTATGAAAATACGATGGCGCTTCCAGGCTTCGAATCTAGTTCAAACTCAATTGTTTTTTGTGCACCTAGAGAGTATTTGACTGATCTTCAAATTTACCGACTAAATGTTCTTCTACACGGACACGGATTAGTAGAGCAATCTACGCACGTCCGCACGCTTTACATAATATTAAGTAGATCGTACCTTATCTTTGAAACCACTGTCTTTACAGACATTATGCAATTTTGCGTTAAGCACAAACGGTTTCGACTTAGCTATCGTTTTAGAGTGTCTGATGGTATTTCATTCAATGCTACTGATTGCTCTAAATAGTCCTCTTTCCAGGCGAGGTATCGGGACCTTGCCTAGGTTCATTGATTCGAATTTCAATTTTCCTAACTTGTTCCGAGTATCTTCGTTTCGTGGTCATTGAAAATGGCTCTCACTCTCTCCAGTTAAAAAATTTCTCCTTCATCTTTTCTATGCACACACTCTGTCGAAGTATGTTCTTTACAAGGGATAATACAGATAACTCGAACGTTCAAACGTAACAGCTAGTTCTCCTTCGGCTTCTTCTTTGCGGAGAAATTTATGTACTTTGACTAATTGGTTTAACAGTCCAGAACATTCATCCATCTCTTCATGCGTTGAGCAGACTTTAAAGCTGATACATCTACAGTAAAGTACTGGAAGGGGAGCGAGCTCCGCTTCCCATTACTTGAATATAACGGGAAGATTTGGCGCCATTTGCTCACTCATTGCCAACCTTCTATTCTACGAGATATTTTCGGACCATCTAAAGGTTGAGAGCAATTCAAGCGTTCTCTCGATAGACCCAATACGTGCCGAATCGAAAAAATGTTTATAGCTCCTCCGTGTTAGGTAATGGGTTCGGTAATGTATTGCTCAGCGAAATCATTCGATTTGCTTGTACTACGGGTGGTAACGTCGAAGGAATCTATTACAGACACGTTGTTAAGAGAGGCGTTGCTTAGACGATACAAACTTCAGCAACTGAGCAACTGTTAGAGTTAAAAACCAAGTCATTCTACTAACAGTTCTATGACAACTTAATCGTACATAAAAGGATATTGAGCAGTATGGAAAACATTCGACCCCAGGCGGAAGTTGAACCCACGTTCATCCGTTCCGGGAGCACGTGCTACCACTACACCGCCGAGGCCACCGTTCTACTACCACTTTCTAATATATACTATCGTAGCTGTCACCAAATAACCTTCAACGAGGTTGATCCGGTAAGCTTTGGTGCAATGGTAGCACACGCTCCCGATAAGGGTGGAACACGGGCTCAACTCCCGCCTGAGACCATTTGTTTTGTGTACCACTTAATACTCTTCAATGTCGTTGTGAATCCTTAACCATCAGAATATGATTAGCTGGTCGTCGTCGTCAAAAATGATTTTGATCCTCATCTTCCTAGTGATGATTCGGCGAATGAATATTGTTCAGGAGGGCTTTCCAGCGAAAAACCACTGTTTTCGATCCGGGCGGAGTCTCGTTTTTCTTTCTTTTATGAGTTTTTCCAACTAGTAGATTAAAGGTTGACATAGGTACGTCCATTTTATAGTTTGAAGTACTACTGTGTACAAAATATCATGGAAAATCGGCTGAATGATAGAAAAGGAGGAGCCCGTAACTGCCTACAGATTGTGTCTTCCACGAGTGAATTCATCAATCTTTCAATATAGTCTGTGAGAATGTTCAGAGCGTTTTTGAGGTTGATACCCCAGAACCATACGCACCTTTCGGCGGTGTCGACTGCTTCATCAGTGCCCCACGCACCACACTGAATTCTGCTTTATGGTGCGGATAGGGAGAAGTTATTAATGGTGGTAGCACGTCTCCCTATCCATACTATGATGTAGGGTTCAGTGTGGCGCGTGTGCCACTGATGAAGCAGGCGACACTGCCGAAACGTGCGTATGACTCTGGCGTACCATCCTCGAAAAGACTCTAAACATTCTCAAAGACTGTATTGAAGGTTATATGCGCGGTCTGAAAGCAGTTGATGAGATGGATTTCTGCTAATCCAGTACCATGAAGCTTTATCGATTCAGTCCGAACCTTGTCGACTTCACTATCAAAAGTTTTGCAGAGATTCCTCTATTGAATCGGATCTTTCCGATAGGGTCCATTAGCAGTTCCCCTGAGAATATAATTTTGTTCCAGGTCTTGATAGAATCCATAAAGAATTATGGAATGGTTGCCAGTTTTTCTCGCGATTAAGTCATTCTGTCGACATTCTTATTGGTTTGCTTCTGGTTTCTGCAGAAATAGCATTCGATTCGGTTTTTTCACTGTGAACATCCTAAGCGCTATGCAGTCGCTAAAACTTACGAGTTGTTTATCTATTTGTTGTGTTTATTGTTTGCATTGTTTTTAAGCCTATAGTAAGAGCAATCGAGTTGGCCATCCTCGTATATCTATCTATCTACACACTAGAAGATATTCAGCATTTATCTCATCGACCGTTTCTGAACTTCGCTGTATACATTCGGCAGAGTCTGTGAGAATGCTCAAAGCCTTACCGAGGTTATTACTTCAGAGTCATGCGTACGTCTAGGTGGTGTCGCCCGCTTCATCAGTAGTAGCTCACGCTTCAACCTGACACTTACCTTATAGCGATAAGTAAGCGATAGAAAAATCGATGAGATTCACAGGGAGGTTTCACATATGCACTACCAACCGTAATCCATCTACTGAAAAAAATGCTGATGACCCCGATCTCAGCCAATCCCTTGAGGAGATTTACTCCTCTATTTCTTCGTATCCATTCATAGAGGAGTATAGCCTCAAGGGATCTGCTAAACCGAAGGCTGTGCTAGTGAGGAGTCCATATATAAGACGAAACAGCCGCCTATCTAGCACTTTTCACCCCGTGAGTGTGCCGATTGGAGTTCAGGTTCCTGCATGGGATTACGCTTTGTTTGTAAGCTAATTTGCAAGTGTTTTCAGTGTTTGTCGTGTCAGAATTCCTTTGAATTGTCGTTTATCCCTGAGAAATTTGTCTCGAGTCTTAGATGTACGGGCTGGAAACGTGATTTTCCTAAAATCATTCCGTTATCTTTCCGTTATCTTTGTTGTTTTTACTTTAATTCGTTATTGTTCTCAACCGCTCCTCTTTTTTATAAGTAATTATTTCTATTCAGTAAGTTAATTTCAGGTGTGTACAAACATAGCAGCAGGCTAATGTCTTTCAGTTCAAATGGACGGAAATTCTAAAGTGACCTATGTGAAGGTTTGGAATTCGAAAATAATCTCCATTAGATTATTGACTGTGAGCGTGACCTCAGCGGTTTTACTGAATGGTGATAGACGGTTATTTTAACTTTGGAATAGTTCGAATCCCTTTGTGGCTCTTCTTGATCAAGCAAAAGCTGATGCATTAGTAATAAATAATCAGTGAGGTGTGATTTTTCTCTAATTGAACTGCTGTCAGTTATTGTTATGTATATACAGGTGTTAATCGGTCATGAGTCGTTTGCTTTGGAAAAGCCTCTACCGAATAATCATCGATTCCGATGGATACTTTTTGTCCGTCCAATTATTGGGTCGAAATTCACAGACAGGACTTTTATCAATAAGGTGCGTTTTTTTTCTCACCGCTAAGTCTTACGTGTTTGTATCTATTCGCTTTCCAGACTGATTAATGTTGTCAGATGAGCCTAAGACCAGTGACTCTAACAACCTTAGCGTTATTCAAAAATTACAGTTTTTCCTGTGTAGGTCAAATATGAGGTTGTTATTATAGAATTTATTCTGACAGCCAATGTTCCAACGACTTCGCCTTCGTCAGAGCCTGCAAAGATCAGATTTTCTTTGTTTCTGGGAAAAATACATGAGTTTTTTGTTGAAGTAATGGAGCTACTTTGCTGATTGGTTTTTAGACAAATCTGACCTTTCCAGGCGTTGAAAAGGCGAAACTAGCGAAACGTCAGTTGTTCGAATAGAATACACATAAATAGAACTGTGAATTGTAGTCCCGTATCAGACAAGAATCCTATGCTTTTACTGCTTCATTCGCAGTGTCCTGATGTTTCAAATGCACCTAAGTGAGTTGAGAGGTGAGCAAAAATTCGACTTCAAACGGGAATTGAACACGCTTTTCAACCATTTTGGGGGCGTATGCTACCTCTACACCACCGAAGTCACAGGTTACCCACCACTCATTCTTTATTATTTCTCTATCATAACTATCATCATTAGAGATCTTGATTATTACATATCACAATAGCTATCAGCTCAACTGAGTTTGTGATGATGGCGGATAGCTATGATAGTTAGAGCTCGAAGAATGAGTGGTGGGTAAGCGGTGGCCTGGGTGGTGTAGTGGTAGCACGCGCTACCCGTATCGGTGAGACGCGTGTTCAACTCCCGTTTGGAGTCGGATTTTTGCTCACCACCCAATTATTTTGGGTGCATTTGAAGAAATCTGAATGTTGATGATTTCGTCCCTGCTTATCAAGAAAGCAGTGAACTTTTCATTGTTTTATAAAGTCCATCATAGGTCTCAGTTTATATGATCAGCTGTCTATAAGCCTCGACATTGTTCACTAATTCACCGTTTTTTCTTTGCTGAGTCAATTGCATTGAACAGTATCGTGTTTGGCTTGCCAAAGAAAAAAATTGGTCTCGATTTCGTTTCATCAAGTTTTTGATCAATTCCACTTGTTAGAGGTGCATTCTTCCATAAATACTACCGAATTACAGTAAATGCCGACATTCAACTGATTTCATCTATATAGTTTATGAGCATTCGTCATTGTTTTCATAATGGGAATACTTCCAGGTAGAAATTGAACTGCATCCGACATTTGCCAATCCATTTCGTGTGCTCAAAGAGCCACCGTTTGAGCTTGAAGAAACTGGTTATGCTTCATTCACACCAAAACTCATGATACATTTCAACACACCACGTGCTAAACCCTATCCTGTGCAATATGACTTGAATCTCTCATTGGGTAAGAGTGATGATTTGCAGTCGGCATCTGATCGTTTCGAATCCGAAACCCTTTAGAGAAGCACTCAATTCACCAGCAGAAGATGACTTTCGCAATGTCGGATGTTGCACCTTCATTTCTTGAGTTGATACGGCATTTTTGTGGCTCAACAGACGGTAAACGAAAGGAGCGTGACACGGATACGTTCTCCAATCGTCCAAAGAAGTCAAAGGCTGACGATAAGATGTACTGATTTAGTTTGATTTTTTGCTATATATCCATTTAAAATTGCTGGGGTGTTCTTGATACAATTGCAACGATATTTATTTCAGAATATGCTCCGATCGGAGTGCGAAAGACTCCATGAACATAAACATGAAAGATAAAAAGAAACATAAAGATGAGAAAAACGAAAAGGTCAAGGAGAAAAAGAGCAAGGGTTCGTACACGGAGTCATATGTTAGTCGTGTAGATGCTTTATTTGATCTCATTTTCTTCAACATCTTGTAAGCTATCTGTTCATCATTGTGTATGGTAGCACGCCGGAATCATTTGAAAGCTTTCACTCATTCATAACCTTTATTCCTAGAGTTATGTTTTGAATTTTTCATAAAGATCGTAGTCGGCTAATACGTTTTGCACTTAATTTCAGATATTTTTTAGTTTGTCGAATCTGTGACATTTTTGTACTGAAAACCTCTGGTAAGTGGAGGTGCGCTTCGCATGATCCAATTTTATTCTACAGGACGCCACTGACAAAAAGATGGTGCCAAAATGCGAAGCGTCATCAAGCTCTGGAACAGTGGATACTTCTGCGTTCCGCGTGGCTGTTACACCACAGCGACCCGTTAAGGTGGCACCAAGCAAGGCAGAGGAGCGCATTCGAGACATCTCAAGTGATTCGGTAAGAAACGTTCTCTAATTACTTCCAATGAAAATGTCTGTTTTTTCGATTTCGCTTCTCTTATAGTGGATAATTTCGTTAAAATTCGTTTATTGCTGAAAAAACAGGAAAGTTTTGAATTCTCGACATTTTCAGTCGACTGCATGCGACTCTTCTTCACTATCGTCGTCAACCTTAGGGACTTCTAGTCCTCCATCTCGGCGAACTCTCCCTCTGCCTGAGTTACATCGCCGTTTAATATCTCTAACGGACGAAAATCTGATATTCAGGTGAGGAGTTACCACAGAGTAATTTCTTGCGGTTAGTGAAAGCGAAGAGGTTGGTATCAGAGTGTAGGATTAGACAGCATTCTTTGTGCCATACACACTCTAGTTCTGTAGCGAATTCACGTCCTCCTATGATTTGCCACGATGAACTTTTTTATTGCAACAATTCCGAGTGTTGAACTTGGGTAATTAAATAT